TTAAGTAGTGTAAGAGATTTTAAGTCATTAATGGTTTATTTAAATTTTCAATTTCTTATTGAATATGACAGTCTTTCTGCAATAATATCCCAGTTTTAGTAAAATAAAACTTAGATAGTTGGATAAGTAAATCCAACCAATAATAATTTACATGATTATTAGTGTTTTACCAAGGTAATTTTTTTATGAATTGTTCTGAAAGATAAAAATTTCTAAAAATAAAGATAGATGAGACTTTAAAAATAGTTGAAGACAACAAGGACCCTTTTATAATTAATTTTATACAATAAAGACATTTTGTTTCACATTTACGTCGTCTTAGTGAATCGATACCTACTTAGACGTTATTATGTAGACTTTAAAACATAAACTCTATGACATAATTATTAACATAATTTATATGGATTAAATTATAATGTACAAAGTACATAAATAGGTAAAATACTTATTACAATCACATCTCGATTTCTTTTTCACATTTACCTTTCTGATAATGAAAAGGAGGATTTCATGGATTCAGGGTGCGGGTGCCGGGTCCTTGCTTGCTTGCGTCTTGCAGTTAGGACTGAGTGTCATTTCAGGGAGTAGATATAGGAGTTCGGTGTATACGCTTAGGGATTCTATGAGTCGCAAAGAATATATGATTGTTTTTTGTAAAATTGGACTTATGTGAATTACGTACACTAGGCAGTAGGCACCATATACAAAAGTACATAGGAAATAAAAATATGCAATAAAAGAAAAGGGAGCACATCCCCAGTTTCAACCTTCGGCATTGTGTGTGATAGCAAGCAGTGCCTAGTCGGCATCATCAAAGGTCGGGTGCTGAACTCTCAAAGAAAATTTGCGGCTATTCGGAAGTACAAGGTCAAGATACACGTGCGGCGGCTTCTTTTGCGCATACAAACAATGGTCGCCGCCGCACCGAACGCACTATATTTGACACTATTTGATTGCCGACAAAAAAGCCTGAATAAGTAAATAAAAAATAATACATTAAATATAGTAAGCATCAAACTTAATTGAAGTATCGAAATAATAAAAACGAAAAATTAACTATATACAATATATGTGTAATCAAATCAAAAGCGTAATCAAATTAGGTATACATATAGTACGTTACAGAGAAACTGTTTATTTTCTTAATATTTCAAATGTTTAAATCTAGCTTTTAATAATCATTAATAAGGTTATCTTTTTAATTATTATTGAATTGTTTGATTTGGGGCGGTATCCTTTTAGTTAGAGCCGACAAGTGCCAAAGCGGCGCGATACAAGGCGACATTATGTAAACAAATGGAGTATGTATAAAAAGAAGTATTTGTTTTAATTTCAAATACAGTAGAAACTCGATTAAGCGAACCAATCGTTGTCGATAGGTGTGGCGTAGCCTATCTTTGTTGTGTGATTTGTATTTCTATGTTTTAATTATTTTTTTATTAATTTAATTATTAGTCGTTGACTAGTTTGTATATACGTAAGTTAGACTCCGCCCCATTGCGGGGCGACGTACTCCCGCGGCCCCTGCGGCCGGCCAGCCGTCGCTTCACAACTATGAATTATAATAATTAATTGTTTAGTACGCTCCAGCTTCCGGGTCCGACTGCACGTCGCTCGTATGCTCGCTGGCCTATTACATAGTATGTACCTGTATCTTCAAGGTATAGTAAAGTCTCCTATCGTTTGCTTAAAAACTTAAAGTAGCGATACTAAACTGGTGACCCCGACGTGATATGAACAAATAGGCATTCGGATAATCAAATGTATGAAAAAATGCGGGTTTTATACATACATATATAGTACATAATGTTATATGTTTATTTAAAAAAAAAGCAACAAATGCATATCAACGATAATCAGTGTTTGTTTATAAATACTAGTAAACCTGGCGAACTCCGTTTCGCCACCAGAAGGCTTTTATATAACATTTCGTTTGGTGATTAAAAGATGAAGAATTTTTTGTTTTATATTTGAAAAGGAAAATTTTTATTTCATTTCCCAACAGTAATGAATTCATTTCGATTACAAAAATGAAGTGTTATTTAGTTGAACTTGTGTAAATGAAAGTGAATCCAAGGTAGATAGATACCGAATCGAAGCGTTAAACGTTTCCGCAAATTATCCGTTTCATTGAAATGCTCCTTTGTAAACCACATTTTTTGTTTTTTGGTCTAACTTTAACACAAATAAAGCGTATGGTTTCCAAACTCGTGAACACGCAAAATATAACTGCCCATGTGAAAAACAATGATTTTCTAAATTTATCCCGAAAATACTAAATGGTTTTAAGAGTTCAAACTACAAACACATTACCTAAATATTTTTATTTTTATATAGTAGATTTCTTACAAATATCTAATTGTCATCCATACGTCATTACATATCTGTCATTATACGTCAATTGCATAGCTGTCTTTTGTGTTATTCCACGTTTTATAGTGACTGACGTTTCATGTCAAGTCCCACGGGAATGCTGTCGAACGGGATAAAAGTATCCTATTGCAATTTCCTGGTTCTAAACTACCTCCCTGCCAATTTTCAGCTGAATCGGTTCAGCCGTTCTTGGGTTATAAGTGAAGTCACTAACACGACTTTCTTTTATATATATAGATAGATTACTCGTATAGGATACATTTTCTTAGATTACATATACTTACATGTATGTATTAAAATGCAGATTTAATAATGAAATAAATTATAATATGTATGTATTTGGTAATTTGCAATTGGTAACCATGAATTAAAATAATAAGTTTAATTTGCTTTAAATATTTGGTAATTGTCATGTGACGTACGCCACTCTCAACAATGCACCACTCTCTCACTCTTTGACGTTTTTAAACGGTTTTATTTAGCTCACCCCGTTTGTTTTATTATTTATTGTTGGGTCAAATTTAGTAATTCAAATTTCACACTCTTCCTGTCAACCGATTAATCTGAAATTTTGTATACACTTTGGATTTTGATGACAATACAATTATGTTTATTCATTATCATTATAAATTCAAGATGGCCGCCGCTACAAAATGGCGGATAACGTAGGTTTTATCAATCCCATCAACATGGGTATCAAATGAAAGGTATCAATAAGTAGAATACAATTTACTATGATAAATTAAAATCTAGGATGGCCGCCGCTACCAAATGGCTGATAACAATTTTTTAGAGGAGTTGGACTGCAATAAACTAACGGGCAAGAAACCTTGCAATAATGAAGCACAAATGAATTAAACAGAATGCGAAATAAAAACTAAAAACTAGAAAATAAAAATAGGTAAAAAAACTAAAGATGACGTACATTCATATTACGCTCCGCTCGGATTTAGTTCATGTACGACATATACACACTTACCTCTGGCATATCTATAAGTTGCAACGCTAACGACACTTAATGCGACGGATATAATGCGTTTAGGGCTTGGGCATGATATAGAAAAGGATAGCTATATATTTCAATGATATAGAAAAGGATAGCTATATGTTTCGAGTTAATATTCGAATCGAATAGGTTTATACTCCAACCAAATTCGATGTGGAATGTGAATTTTATTAAAAGGGCGGCATAGACTCGAATAAAAAATATCGATATTTAAAAAAATCATAACAATAAATAAATATTTCATATTCATATTATTTCGATAATTATTTTGATATATCAAACATTAATATTATTTTTGATTGTGAAACACCATTTTTAACAGAAGTAGGTTAAGGATTTATCCTAATAATACAAAATAATTAATTTACCTGAAAAAGTTCCGAATTATAATATTGATTAATAATTGTTATTATCAATAAAAGTTGTTTTGAATGAAATTATTTTAATGTGAAAAGCATTAGTATTTATAGCAAAATTGAAAATATCGATAGAATATTTATCGATATACCTAATTTTTAAACTTGCAAATCGCAAAATTGAAAAAATAATAATAATAACTCCGGCGGCCCGGCGCCCGCGACACTATACGGCGCCTTAACCGTTTATGGATCTGATGTTTGAAACATTTTTTTTCAATAATGTCGATTTAGAACTTATTTAGCCTACGCACTGTAACTGACCTCTGCTTGACATTTTTTAAGTTATGTAATTTTTGAGCCATTAAACAACTCTTCTATATACTTTTAAGTAAAATATTATATAGGTACATACAAGTACAAATCGTTTTCTCAATTTACTCCTGTTGAAGTATGTTCTGTATTCTAGATATTCTCTTAGGAAGCTTCTGAACGAAAGGTAATTTGTATTCTAATGGTAAATCTTTAACAAAGTTGAGGTTATTGATCTACCGTTTCTTAACAGATTATGGAAAGCCTGACCGTTCATTCATTTTGCTGTATCATTCCTTGATTACCAATATTGTTTTAATATTTTTGGATCTTACAAATATTTTAGTAAAAATTATATTTAAAATTATAATAATTTTAAGGGGACTTAAACAACTACTATATGAATTGTTAAAGTTTAATATTTTTAATATTGTTGTTTCTTTAAGATAAGTTATATGTTTATAAACAGTTATTATTATACAGCTTCAGTATATACCTATACATATCAAAGCGTATTTGGAGAGTAAGAAATGTTTTAGTCAGTTTGAGGCGTCATATAAAATTTTAAATTACCGTTTTAAATTGTAATTGCGTTGGTGTTATTTATGAATTTGAAACTTTGTTTAAAATAATTTCGAGTGTACAAGAAAAATAAAAAATATAATATTATTATCGTAAAGAACATCTCAACATGATTCGCGTACGAACGCTTGTACGGAGTGCTTGTGCGTAATACATTTTATATTCGCTGCGCCTATTATTATTAGCTTGTTTACATCGCATTAGCGTCGGACGACCGATACCTACTGGCCTTATCGCCGAGCGGTTATGCGATAAACAAACCTTATTCTCGGAAGGATGCGTTTTGTTTTTGTCAACAATGAATGATAATGATGTAGAATTTTTTAACATAGAAAATTGTGAGACGGAATATACATATTTTGAATAAAAATATGAATGATGAAAATACAGTCAATATGGAGAAGAAAAGCGGAGATAAAGATGAATATGAGAGGGTTAGACCTTGTAAACGTGAAAGAGAAGATAATATAAGTGCCGAAGAGGGAGATGATGTGATACCTGAAGAGTGGAAGACGGTTAATAGAAGAAAAGACAAAAAGCTGAAAAATGAGATAATGGAAGTTTATATATCATGTAATGAAAAGTTACCTAAGCAGTTTGAGTTGGCACGCACATTTAAATCACTTAATATCACGGATATTAATAAAATAAAATATATATCGCCATATAAAATTAAAATAGAATGCGAAAATGAAAAATGTTTATTGTCTTTAGTATCTTGTCAGGAATTACTGGAAAAGGGATGGAAATTTCAAAAAGCTTTTGAGGTTAACTTTTCTTATGGTGTTATTAAGAATGTAGACATCGATTTATCTGACGATGAAATTTTTAATAATATTGTATGTACAGAACCGGCAATTCTATCAGCTGTTCAAAGATTGTCTCGCCTTGGTGAAGATGGAAAATGGATACCTAGCGAAACAGTGCGACTCTGTTTTAAATATTCGTATTTACCACCTTTTGTTACGGTTCACGGCTTACGGATTAAAGTGGAGCCGTTTGTGTTTCCAGTCTCGCAGTGTTCTAAGTGTTGGAGACTTGGACATACTGCCAAAAGATGCCCTATAGACAAAGTAGTTTGCCCTAAATGTGGTGGTAATCACGATAATTGTACCATTACGTCTTTTAAGTGTGTAAATTGTGGAGAAAACCATATGTCCTTTAATAAGTCTTGCCCGGTATTTAAAAAAGAGAAAAAGATTCGCCAAATTATGTCCGAGTTCAACGTAACATACAGAAAAGCTCGTACAATGTATGTGGCAGACCCCTCACCGAATACTAATGCAAATTACAAACCTAAGATAGCTAGTAATACTTTTAACGAATGGAGTGATTCCGTTAAACCAAGCTTTTTTGAACCACAATCTGGAACCTTGAGTTTTGGATCAACTAAAGAATCAGTTGATGCTCCATCCTACTCTAGCGTGGTAAAAATAAAAAAGGTGGCAAAACAGAATTCGAATAGATTACCGGGGCGTATACCTTTAAAGTCCCGTAATACAAAATTATCAGGTGAAACAGAGGTGAAAGATTATTTATCGGATACAAGTATTGATAACGAGTCCAAAATTGAAGGGAAAGATGGGGAAGGGACTAGCTTACCAAAGGACATCACATTTATGGAACTTCTATCAAGATTAAAAGAAATTATATTTTTGAAACAGGATTCTTTACAAACAAAAGTGTTTAACGTTATAAAGTGTTGTGTGGAATGGGTAATATTAGTTGTAGTCGAAAAATATTGCTGAATGGCCAATTTTGTCTAATATTATGAAAATTTTTAATTTAAATACTAATAATGGGTGATCCGCTTAAAATAAGTTTAAACATAGCTCAATGGAATGCACAAAGTTTAAGACCAAAGTTGCTGTCATTTGAAAATTTGCTTATTCAAGAGAAAATCCACATTGCTTCAATCTGTGAAACATGGTTAGAACCTGACAGTCAACTTAATGTAAAAGATTATTCTATTTTCCGTTGTGACCGATTCGATTCATATGGTGGAATTGCAGTATTTGTTCATAAATCGGTAAAGTGTAAAAACACTACGGTAAATATTTCCAATTCAAATATTCAAATGTTACACATTGAACTATTTAACTGTAGCGAAATCAAAAAGTTAATATCGGTATATTGTCCACCATCAGTGAATACACGACCTCAAGATTGGGAAGAAATATTTTCCATAGCTTCTAGAAATACTCTTATTATTGGTGATTTTAACGCGCACCACACCAACTGGTCTCGGAAAATAGATTCAAGGGGAACTCAAATACTTGATGCGTTAGTTAATGCTCAGTTCGTTACGGTTAATGACTGCACACCGACTCGTATTAAAATGGTTCAGGGTGTATTCCACCAATATTCCCCTGATATAGTTTTTGCATCATCAGATATAGCACTTAAAGTAAATTTTCAAGTTTTAAATGAAATGTTGGGGAGTGATCATTGTGTCATAAAAATTTCTACTAAGATTAAACCTGCCATGAATTCTATAGTTAAACGTAATTATAAGAAAGCTGATTGGGATTCATATAAAAAGCTATTAGATCGAATGTATGCTAATCTCTGTTTTCCTGATGATCTCCAGCAGGCTTATAACTTATTTATAGATTATATGAATATTGCAGCAGATTTGCATATTCCCTGTAGCAAAATTAGTCGAAACCCATCCACTAAATTTACTCCAAGAGCCTATTGGAATGAAAATTTGTCTAAGGTGGTGGCCGAACGCCGTCTGGCTTTATCGACATTTCGCCGGAATCCAACTCCTGTTAATTTTGACAATTTAAAAGAAAAAATACGAATAGCACAATCACGTTTCCGTAAGTCTAAGGACTTTAGCTGGTATGACTTTTGTTCATCTTTTGTCCAAACGACATCGATGTACGATGTGTATCGAAAAATGCGTTGGGTGAAGGGTATTAAGTCTCCATCCACTTACATTGATAGGGATACAGCCTATAAGTTGCTGCAATGTTTAGCCCCTGACTTCGTGATGCCAAACAAACCAGTTTTCAAATCCCAAAACTTGAATTTAGATTCTCAAATAACATTTTCTGAATTAAAAAATAGTATTAGAGCAAAAGACTCTAGTCCAGGTTGTGACAACATATCTTATAGTATGTTACGAAATTTACCTTTAAACGGTTTGAGGTTGTTGTTAGAACTTTTTAATAAATTTTATCGATTAGGTTTTGTACCCTCCCAGTGGAGAGATGTAAAATTAGTGGCTATACCTAAACCTGGCAGAGATTCTAATAGTTTATCATCTCTGAGACCTATTTCAATGATGTCGTGTGTTTGTAAGGTATTTCATACTATTTTAAACTACAGGTTAGAATGGTTTTGCGAAAAAAATCGAGTATTTTCAAATAACACAATTGGTTTTAGGAAAACATTTTCAACTTACAATAATTTGGGTATCTTAGTAAATCAAGTTTTAATAGGCTTTTCTAAGAAACAAAGTACTTTTGCCAGTTTTATTGATATAGATAGTGCGTACAACAACGTAGATGTCACAGTTTTGCTTACCACTATGGATCAGTTGGGTGTGGGCTCTAATTTGTGTACTTACTTATGGAATGTCTTGCATAATAGAAGACTTATAATAGAGTCTGATGGAACTATTATGTTTAGGAGTACAAGTCGTGGCTTAGCCCAAGGCGATCCAATGTCACCTTTGTTATTTAACATCGCTACGGCCAGTATTTGTAAGACTATCAGAGATGTTAATATAAGTCAATATGCAGATGACTTTGTACTTTATATTACTTGTAACGATCTGATGGTCGCCAAATCTAAGCTACAATCTTCTCTTAATAAGCTCAATGTTATGTTGACTAGTTTAGGACTTGAAATTTCAGCATCAAAATCTAAGGTATGCATCTTCAGAAGGCATCGTAAAACAGAATCGATTGAAATAGCAATAAACAATAAAACTTTGCAATTGGTGCATGATATCAAATATCTTGGGATATGGTTAGATGAACAACTCAGATGGACTAAACACATAAACTATATTTCCGAAAAAACAATGAAATGTATTAATGTTTTGAAGATTTTGGTGGGACCTGGTTGGGGTGTCCATCCAATGTTTTTGAGACGTCTGTATATTTCGCTGATACGAAGTCGTTTAGATTACGCGAGTTTTCTCTATGATAATTGTAGTAATACTCAGTTACAAAAGATAGACAAAATTCAAAATTTTTTTGTATGCGCATTATTGGTAGTTTTATAAAATCAACCCCTATTCACGTAATGCAATGTGAAATCAATTTACAACCTTTATTTGTCAGGAGATATTTTTTGGCTTCAAAATTTTGGCTTAAATGTAAATCGTTTGAAGATAGCATTATAATTAATCAACTAAATGAATTACACACTTTATGTCGAGATAACAATTATTGGCAACGTAAAAAAAAAATCCCCTACTGGTAACTATCCACAGGCATCTTGAAGAAGTACCTATTTATAGATCGAAACAATTAGAAATGTTTTCTTTAGACACATGGGTAAGCAATGTGGATTTGTCTCAGAATATCCGATTTGAAATAGATTTTGTAGAAAAGGGCAAAAGTAAATTTCACACTTTGGAACTATTACAAATTTGTGAAAACTTTTTAAATAAAACCTATTCACAATTTTATAAAATTTATACAGATGGGTCCAAACATTGTCAAGAAGTTGGTGCGGCATTTTTTGATATTCAGACAAAAAGTAGTATTCAATTGAAAATAAATTGCTATAATATATCTATCATGTATTTAGAACTGATAGCCATTTTGGAGTCATTATCTTATATAAATTCTGTCGATTCAAACAACTTTGTCATTTTGTCTGACTCAAAAAGTGCTTTGCAGCATTTGGCTCGATGCTCCTCGACTTTTCGAGGTGCACCGATAGCCTATGCCATTATGGATTCTATACGTAACCTTCAAAATAAATACAATAAAAATGTAGTGTTACAGTGGATTCCTGCACATGTCGGCCTAATAGGTAATGAGGTTGTCGATAGGTTAGCCAAAAAAGCGTCAGTGGAGGGTATTTTATTTAATTACGAACCTTATTTTACAGATATAATATTTAGTGTTAAAGTACATTGTAGAAATTTATGGAAAGAATTTTTTGACGAGCGATCACTTTCTAGAGGCATTTGGTATAAAACAATCCAATCGCAACCTTCTGGTTTCACTTGGATTGATGGAGCAAATATGAGCAGAAGTGAAATTGTAACAGCCCTAAGGCTTCGTTCTGGACATATTCCCTTAAATAGCTTCAGTTTTTTAATGGGTAAAGTATCTTCATCACATTGCTCTGTATGTTATGTAAGAGAAGATCCTGTGCATATTATTACGGAATGTGTACGGAACGAGGCTGAAAGAATGGTCTTTTTGCGGAAATATAATTTCACATTCGAAACAGGGTATTACAATAGTGTTTTGTCAAATCCGTTATCCGACGCTGCTAAAGAATTATATAAAGTTGTTTTAAAAGGCATTCAGCGTAGGTAATAATATATAGTAATTTAAGTTTAGATATGTAGTAATTAAATAAGGAAGTATGAATTGTAGCTCTATGAGGGTGACATTTTCTAAATAGAAAAAACCCTCCCTTAAAAATAAAGAGAAAAAAAAAAAAAAAAAAAAAAAAAAACATCTCAACATCGCTTCAACTTTTTCTTTTTTAATAACTGATTTACATGTATAGTCCTGCCATTAAGCAATTTGAATTTAACTTTGTCCTATTTGTTTTTAATTTTTCGTTATTGTTGAGCATTTCAACTTCTTTCGCTAATAGGCGGCCACATAAAAACTCATTACAGAATATTTTATAATACCTAGGAGTAGGACTCAGAGTATCAGCCATGAGGCAAGGCTGACGACGCGTACTTTTTTTTTATAATTATTTCTATAAATCCATTATCACTTCCCTTGTTACATATATCGAATTTTTTATCATAATTTTATATATAATTTTTGATACAAAGAATAGGTTACTTGAATTTGATCAGAATGAAATGGAACAGAATCTTAATAAGAGATGCTGAAGAAAATGTATTTTTAAACCTTTATATCTGAAAATATTAACCTACTTAACTTTATTTATTACTTTATGGTTTAGTAACTTTCAATTAACTCAGATCATCAATTTCATATTTTAAACTTGACTAACTATAAAAAATTTCTACTTTTAATTTATATAATATTTACTTGTTATAATTTTGTATTATTTTTATATACTTACATATTAAACTACTACCTGTATTGAATGATTCATATTTTTCGCTAATATAACAAATATTTAATTATATAAATAGATAAAAATTAATTAAAAGACTGATATATTTTTGTAAGACATTTGTTTACCCGTAGGCTGTAAAAGTAATAGAATATTAGTAACATATAAGATAAAAGTATGGGAAAATATATTACTATATCTCTGGTCGTTTCCTTAACTACATACATATGTATAACCTTTAACCTTTGTATATACCTGAATGGATTTTTGCAATAACTTATCTTTGTAGCATTATTATTTTAACATCAAAGTAAATTATGAAATCTTTTATTAGTAACTCTTATATGCTATATAAACGATCTAACAAATGACTAAGATGAGGTAATTATAGATATTATCTTTATAATGAATTTTGTAAAACTTATTTGGTTTAAGCTTTATTTAGCTTAGAATTCCCTTAATATTATTTTATTCATATTATTTTTTCAGAATCTTATTTGAACTATTAAAACATCTTATATTTATTGGTTACGTTTTTAGGATCTTTACAGTAACAGTGATAATGGGGAGACGAGATGAAAGTTTATCTTGTTATTTATCACCTACTGCCTACGATTTTATAATTTTCTAGTATACTGTTCTTATGTTCGCAAATGCTCTGGGTCTTGTGAAATTGCGGTGTGGTCATCACACTTTTTTTTCTTCACATTACCTTTTATCTTCTTCTTCTACCTGGCAATTTCCCGGCTTTAGCCAGGGTCTGCCAAAAAAATAACTCTTCCGCAGAACATGTTATAGATAGTTTCGGCTAATTGTTTTTTACGACCGGCCGCCTGCCTGACATCAACCCATTTTTTGGGAATGTTCTTACTGAGCTATTTCAGTTTGAGCATTAATCACCACGCTTGCTCAAGACGGGTTGGTGATTTCAAACTTATAATTGTGAAATTATAAGTCCAGAATTCCTCACGATGTTTTCCTTCACCGTCTGTCAGTGGTGTCTAAATACTCTAGAAAGTACATATGACTCGGAAAAATCACATTAGTACTTGCCCGGGTCAGGATCGAACCCGCACCCTCGGCGACGAGAGGCGGACCCTCTAACCATTATGCCACCACTGACATTACCTTTTATACAGAAGAGAAAACATGAACAAACTTTCCCATGTTGAAAAGACATTATAGATTATTTTTTGATTATTAGCGGATTACAAAACGACGGTAAACTAGATTTACAGTTGAGTAGCCATTAATTATCTTTCTCTTCCCCGCTCAATTAAAAACTGTTCACTATATGATTCAACTAACTCCAAAATTTCTTTTCTGAGCCTCTTTTTATTATACCTCAAAGATACCTTATATTTTAACTGGCTATTAAGTTAAGGCATAACAGCCTTTAGGTTTCTATCAAATGAGGGCTACAGTGGTGATTTCACAGGTGAACATTAAAATGTTTACCTTGTCGTAGAATTACCAAGGGAAGAAGTTAACCATGAGATACTGTTTCAATGTTTAAAGGATATTCATTGAACCTATACTAGAAACAAAAGATTTACAGCGCTCTTTTGGTCTAATGTGTTCAGAATATTGTTACCGTAGTCATCTAATTTGTCAATCGGTGATTTTTCTGAAACCCGCACTTTTCAATATTATCTATTGAAAGAAAATAAAATCACTGTTTTCAAGAAAAAAATATAAGTCTTGCATGCCCCTATAAATTCTATAGATAAAAAAATAGTCTCATTAAAAAAATTTATGGTATAGTATGGAAGATAATGGAAATGGTAACCATAGGTTGAAGGTTAATATAAAAATAAACTGTTCTTAGTAAATATCAATAACAATTTATTGTAAAACCATTTTACTTGTTAGAAAAGTAGGTTGGGGATGATTTATTAAGTTCTCAATAAATTATATTAAGTCGAAACTCTCACTTTTGTAAATTTTTATTCTGACACGAAAGCCGCATAAGGGTAAAAAGTCGAAGGAATTTTTGTCTTGCATATTTAAAATCTTAATGGTGTTTCTTTTCTTTCAAGAAAAATAAGTGAGTATTTTTTAGGTTTTTTTCAACGTCTTTTAAATATGCTGAAGAAATAAT